GGGGTATTCGAAAATTAAGCAATTTCCCTTCGTCCCGCTCATGTAATAAAATTATTACAACACAAGAAAGAAAAACATGAACTTATAATACTATTACTAAAACAGACGATTATTAACAATGTCTGACCGGGCACAGGAGGAAGACTATGTTTGAAGTCGGGTTGTGAATTATAGTGTCTTTTACTGTAGCGCACAGGAGGAAGTCTATGTCTGAAGTCGGGTGGTGAATTATAGTGTCTTCCACTGTAGCGCACAGGAGGAAGGCTTTGTCTGAAGTCGGGTGGTGAATTATAATGTCTTCCACTGTAGCGCACCTGAGGAAGGCTATGTCTGAAGTCGGGTGGTGAATTATAGTGTCTTCCACTGTAGCGCACAGGAGGAAGGCTATTTCTGAAGTCAGGAAGTGAATTATAGTGTCTTCCACTGTAGCGCACAGGAGGAAGGCTATGTCTGAAGTCGGGTAGTAAATTATAATGTCTTCCACTGTAGCGCACAGGAGGAAGGCTATATCTGTAAGCGTTGGAAATCAATAACCCCTGTGCCAAATAATTTTTGTAGGGGTGTGTGCCAAAAAAAACAAACACATTTTCACAGATCGGGTGCAGTTCTCAAGTTAAAATCAAAGCTAAAAGAGATGTTAGCATAAAGTGAAGAAACAGATAACCTTAAAAACAGAAAAGTAAAGTAAAATTCCATACGACAAGAAGGCAAACCTAGAACTGTTAAACACACCACGAGGTTAGATGTTATGGTATAAAATTGTGCTGAGAAATAATTTCTGTTTTGTGATTTCATGTATAATTTAGAAGCTAATTTGAGCACTTTGTGCTAATCGAATTTATTCACGTATAGGAGTATAAGCACAGAAGTGGAGTGATATGCGTGATGCACGGATTTGAATTATTTGTAATTTCTGGATCAGGCATGCTGCAAGTCATCCTATAGCCATGTATAATTGGTGGTCTAATGAAATCTTGGATCAGACATGCTGCAAGTCATCATACAGTCATGCCCAATTGGTGGTCTAATGAAATCTTGGATCAGACATGCTGCAAGTCATCATACAGCCATGTATCAATTGGTGGTCTAATGAAATCTTGGATCAGACATGCTGCAAGTCATCATACAGCCACGTTCAATTAGTGGTCTAATGAAATCTTGGATCAGACATGCTGCAAGTCATCATACAGCCATGCCCAATTGGTGGTCTAATGAAATCTTTGCAGATAAGTAATAGAGATGAAGTTTTATTATCGTTGATTTCATATATGAACGAGGTGGATCATTCTTACGCACCTTTTCTTCTCTCTCAGGGTTTGCCACCCAGGAGTAAAAACCCTAGACAAAAGCAAAACATGATCCTCGGGTCTAGGAAGACCCGAGCGGCTGATCCCATATCATAATTGGATTAAGGTTATAAGAAGAAGAATCCCAGACGAACTGGTTATTGATAGCAATAACCAAGAAGTTTAATTCTGTCCCTGGAGAATATGGGAGAATGTCTAGAAAGTTTCTTGTTTATAAAACATAAACGTCAGAGTCCTTCAAGTGTTGAGAACAATCCGTCACTTGTTACACCACACTGTAGTGTTGTTAAGAGAACTTAACTCTTGTTTGATACAAACGGTGAGTTCCGGGATAGTCCATACCGGATACTGAGTTAGTCGTGGGGGAGGGGGTGTAGGTAATTAATATACATTATGTAAAGCTCAGTAAAAATTCTTACGAAACTCCAGTGAATAGACCTTTGGTTGCTAAGAGCTCCCTTTGGTAGAGCGTTGCTAAGGGAGGCTTTGGCAGCACGATTTGTCAGAAAATCTGAGCCCCACTGGAGAAACATGGGCGAATTGCTATAAGATATAAGCTTGATTTAATACCAGACAAAATCAAAGGCTTTTTATCATCTAGTGTAATACTAGTAAAACATCACTTACCAGTGTTCACTATAGTGTAATACTAGCAAAACATCACTTACCAGTGTTAGCTATAGTGTAATACCAGCAAAACATCACTTACTAGTGTTAGCTATAGTGTAATACCAGTAAAACATCACTTACCAGTGTTAACTATAGTGTACTACTAGTAAAACATCACTTACCAGTGTTAGCTATAGTGTAATACCAGCAAAACATCACTTACCAGTGTTAACTATAGTGTAATACCAGCAAAACACCACTTACCAGTGTTAGCTATAGTGTAATACCAACAAAACATCACTTACCAATGTTAGCCATAGTGTAATACCAGCAAAACATCACTTACCAGTGTTAGCTACAGTGTAATACCAGTAAAACATCACTTACCAGTGTTAGCTATAGTGTAATACCAACAAAACATCACTTACCAGTGACTGGGGTGCGATTACAATTAAAAGCGTGAAAAACCCATACAGATAAGTAGACTAATGGGACTAAAGTCACTTGGGTTTCATAATCTGGGTCTTGTTTGTTTGTTTTGTTGAAATGTCCGTTATTTTAGCAAAAGAAAAAAACTTTCAGTATTATGAAACAATAAAAATGGCTGAACTTTAAGTAAACGTTTCGTGTAAGTGCGAAGTAAGTTGTTCCGTTTGGGCGATTTGTTTGTTTTGCGCTAGCCGTCCCTAATTTAGCAGTGTAAGACTAGAGGGAAGGCAGCTAGTCATCACCACCCACCGCCAACACTCGAGCTACTCTT